TCAGTTCATCAGTGTAATCCACCTCTTTCCTACCTCCTCCCTCTCCCCCTTTATGATTACTCACCATGCATTCCTTCAGCATGCATCAAAGCAGCCAATGCTAAATGTGGAAAATCTGAATGTGGAGAAGAGGAAGACAATAGCGCAATGAGGCTCCGCTCTGTCGACCATTTCATTTTTCCACTATTTTCTAAGATTCAAACGTGTTTATTTTCCTCTCACTGCAGCAGCTATGGTATACTATATATTACACCACTATAATCAGGCGTGCAATTCAACACAATGACAGATTTCAAGCTTCTCCATGAAAGCCTTTAATTTAGAGGGATAACACGACTTTTAAGGACATTTGCAAACTCTCATGGTAACGTCTGGGTGCAAACGCATACACACACCAACCATCCACCCACCCACCCACCCACCCACACACTGATGTGCACTCTCTCACACATGTTCATGTCCCAAACATCCTGCTGCAGCTTACACTAACTCATCATGTGTACAAACAAATGTCTTGAGGAGGCAGGACGCGCTTCGGAGAATAACACCCACCTGCGCAGGTCAAACAGTTTGTGGCCTCACAGATATGTCTGCACACCAAACACTTGCACATTCATGACCTAGTGCTTAGTGAAATCCTTTTGCTTTCACCCAAAGCACATGCACACGTGCACATGCATACACGCACACACACACACACACACACTGCAGTGCTTCTCTGCTGGCACATGCAGCATATACTATACTATACATGCATACACGCGCACACACACACACACACACACAGACACACACTGCAGTGCTTCTCTGCTGGCACATGCAGCATATACTATACTCCCACTTCAAACATGTTTCTGAATGTATTCACAGAGCCAAGCTGGCTTAACAATGGCCAGATATAGAGAAATTCTGAGTAAACAGTCAAAATATCACTGCAGGCATGGAGGGGATGAGCTCCATCTGGTGAAGCTGACGCCAGATACGCATGGGTTTGTGAATGCGTGTGTGTCTCTTGGTGTGTGTGTGTGAGAGCATGCTCATGTACAATTGCAGCTCTGAAGATAAAGATGTCAGTGTCCTTGTGGATGTGTGTGTGAGTGTGCATTGCAGGGCGTCTGTATGTGTGTGTTCCCCTGTCCTCCCAAACCAAACACAGTTAACAGTAGCCTGCTGTCATAACACCCTGCCATTCTACAATGGAGGCCGCTGTTCGTTCTAAACAGGCAGAGAGGAGAAGAGAGGGAGAGAAATTCTGGAGAAACAAGGAGAGACGAAGAGGCTGCAGCAGCAGTGTGGTGAGAGACACAATAAGAGAGTGAACTGAGAAAAGGTAGAGATAAGGTAGGCGTGAGATACTGACCGTTTGTAAAAACCAGGAGGCAGGTCAACACATGGTATAGGACGAGAAAACAGTCAATACACTCACTGAAGTCATAAAGCATCTATGTGTGCATCTGAATGCATGTGTGTGCATGTATATGTGTGTTACATGTTCCTATATACCTGTGGGGACTTTGACCTGAACGCACACTAACCCATGGAGACTCTACCCAATGGGTAGAGAATGCTTTTTGAGGGTTACAAAAAGGTTATGGTTAGATTTAGGGGCTAGGGAATGTGTGTGTGTGCCTAAATAATATATTCACATATTACCTTGAAATAAGGTCTATTTTTCTGTAAAATATTGTACACATTTCTGCATTTTTTTATTGTCTTTCTTACATTCATTTAAAAACTGAATACACATATTTAAAAATCTCCATATGAATTTGCGTGTGAACACGGCACAATAAAGACTCTGCAGCAAAGTAACTCTAAATTGGTCTCTGATGGTGGTGAATTTCAAAATTTCCATTGAGGCCCACTCACAATAACACCAAGTCTGAACAGTGAAAATGGAGGAACACACACAGACTTGCACACACAGGCCTTCAGTTGGGGGGTCCAGTGTAAACAACAATGACATGATTTTATTTTCCTCTTTTCGAGTTCTCAATATAACAACTTTCACGCTTGCACTTTCTTTTCATTGCTCCTCTTTTTAACTCTCTCTCTCTCTTGTCATCCACATGTCACTTGTATAAATTATTTGCTCGTACTCTAATAAGAAATAACAGAGAATTATTCAGATATTGAGGACTTTTTATTGGAATTTAAACATTTCACAACCTGCACTCATATCCCTTAGCTGACTCCATTGACTACCTTTATATACATATACAACATTTAAACTGTGCACATAGGCAAAAGAAAGCTCTAATAATATTCAATAAAGTTCATCAGTCGAAATTATGTATATCATCATAAGGAATTTGTCTGGAACTTTATCTAGTTTTTACACATCAAATTTAAACAGCTGCAGCCACAAAACGTAGTAGTAAAGTATAAATTACTACTGAAACGAACGTGGACATTTTCAAATGAAATGAAATCTGATTTTTGTTTCACAAGTTGTTTTAACTAGACTTTATTGATTTTAGATTAGAGAAGACGGGTTTTTCCCAAAATGACCACTACTGAGCCCGATCCCTACAAAGCCTTTAATTCTCTGTATCCCTATAAACCTTAAATTAAATCAGTTTAAATTACAGAACTGTAAAAAAAAAAAAAAAAAAAAAAAGGGATTTAAAAACGTTTTACCAGATTACTAGACCAATTAAATCCACTGAAATTACAGAACAACTGTGGAAAACATTTCAGGTTTTCCTACATTACAGTGTTTTGATAACTTTTGATATTTCCAAGATTTAATTTTTAAGTCTTTTTTAATTTGACTAAATAAACTTTGTGCCCTTCATACCCGACTACCTTTAATTGCATACATGCAGAAATAAACTTTATGTGCTCCTCAGAAACTATGTGAGGTAGTTTGAGTCTTTTGTCGCTCTTCTATCCTCTCTTACCCCATCACTGTGGTGCTCTGCTGAATTACAGGGTTGAGAGCGCCACCTAATAACAGGGTGCACCATGAGTTCTACTCCAGACCCATTTTGTGGACGGATACCTGATACCTTAACTCATTCTATCATTGTCATCTAAGATGCATGGCTCTAATTAGCTGTAAATATAGGTGATTTTTTTCTCCTCCAAATTATGCACATGCCACTCTCTCATTTGAGTTGTGTTAGAAAATCGAAACACATTGTCAAAGGTACATAAATATGAAGAGAAGTCAACTCAAATTATTGTGTGTGTAATATTGATAAAAGTGCAACCTACTCAGTAAACAGGGTTATGGATCCAAGAAGTAGATTTTTTTTTTCTCTTTCTCTGGTCAGCCTGAACTTGGCAGCAGTATCAGTGGACATTTTTCTCTGTCAGGCCGCAGGAGTCAGTACAGCACAGCCAGCTGCCGAGGCTCACGGCTTGGCCTCTAATTAAAACAGTGGAAAATGAGATAACTCCACAGATCCATCATGGCCGCCGTTGGCTGTCAGAGCGCTCGGGGGCTGCCACCCACCGTATGTTTACACCAGGGCCACTCGGCCTCTCTGCTCTCAGGGTGTTTTTAGAGTCCCGGCCTGATTTCTCTAATGGGCCGAGAGGTTTTTTTAGCCTCCTTCCACCCTTGCTTTGCTGCAAACGTCTCTCCACTCCCACCCCTCCTTCAAGTGTTCTTGACGGGGTTGATGGAGGCTTGGAGTGGCAGGGCAACCCCCCTCCATCCCCTCCTCCCATATTTCCCACCCACTCTGCCTCGTTAGCCCTTCATTTATTAGGCCTTAATGGAAGCTGGGAGTGCTGTGATGTCATGCACTGGTGCATAGAGAGGACAGCTTTTCTCTGTTTTTTCCCCCTCCCTAATCCTTTAGTCGTGCCTCAGATTCTTCATTTATATCCAACAAATTTCCATTTCGCCTATGTTTGCTTACAGCATCCTTCTTGTTCATGTTCTCTTTTCTGTATGTCTTGAACTTCTTTATTTTGCTTCGCTTAAGTCAGGTGTTCACCAAGACTCTGCACAGAAGAGAGCAAGGCCAGTCTGGTAAATATGTGAAAAGGCTGTGCACAGGGTGTGAGGGAGGACACAGTGGTCTGCAGCATGCCGCGGTCTGCAATTTATTTATGGGCAGAGACTTGGAACATGCCTGCGCTGCCCGAAAGTTTTGTGTTAAAGGATCTATTTTGACAGCTGCCATTTAAAAGAGGATAAAACTGCCGCTGTGATTAGAGTCAGGCAAAAGCTGTCTTCATTCTTGCTGAATAATGGCAGAGTGTTAGCAGATCTCCTTCAACCTCTCGTGCCAGCCTCACTAATGATCCTGAGGCCTCTTCCACAGCTTTTGCCAACACCATGCAGAGGAATCCAGCTACCAGCTCTGTTTCCCTTCCACAGGCAGAAAACAGCAGCTTTTTACACTGGAAGGAATTTGGAGGTAGAGTTGAAGGACTCATCACAGCTGGAGACATGTTAGCACCCTGTTAGCAGCTTTGAAATTTCAAATGTTGAAAAATAATCCACGAATTAGCTTTTCTAATGTCGTCTTGACAGCAGAAATGGTTTCTCCGTTACTGAGATTTTAATGATTTAACAGCTAGTTTAATAAAATGCTCCATATATCTGATGACAGGTATCCTCAAAATACATGAATTACATGACTGATGTGATGCCTTTCATGGAATACAGCTGTTGATGGTTGTAAAATAACATCCGTTACTGACCCTGATCAAGGAATTTCAGCCACATGTTAGGATCATAGTTAGAAGCCAGCATTATTTTACAGACTGTTTTTATTGATCATGACAGAGAAAGCACAAGTGAATGCTGGGAAGAGGAGCAAGATGTATGTTTGTAAGTGTGCGTGTGTGGTGTCCAATAGGCCACCCAGCAGCAAAGCTTATTAGTTTCAGCAACACATCACTTCATGTTTCAGGCTAAATATCATTACACAAACCCCGTTGAACCCCAAGCCGCTGTGAATGCAGCAGAGCTGATGACAAAGACCACAAATGTGATACTTTGTCCTGTAACTGGATCTGTGTTTTTGTTCTCATTTCAGAGGCGTGTGCACCCAGCTTGGTCAGCAGCATGTGCCTAATTCAGAAATCAGGCAGGTATCATTACAACACCACCCTCTCTCGCTCTCTCACTAGTAGCTATGTTTTCAGACGTCAACAGATGTCAAATTACTCCACAATTAGCCCAATGGGCCTCCTTGCACGAGTGCATTGTGTGCTTTTGCTAAAAAAGAGCTTGGTTGATTGGGCTTTTGATTTCTATAAGATGACAAGTCATCCATCACGCTAAACGCTCTCTCCTCGCTCCCCTTGCTCGCTTCTCTCTCACTAGCAGGTCTCTTTCTCTCTCTCCACCAAAGGCTTTCTCCTTGCTCCCTTCTCTCTTCCCCTGACCTCCCTCTACACTCACTTGCTCTTTTTCTGCCCCCTGACTCTTTGTACCCTCCCTCCTGTCACTCTCAGTCAGGATGAAAAAAGGTCAGTGTGAGAGTCGGCTGAGAGAAAGAACAGGAGAGTAAACAGGCGAGAGAGATCAAGAGCGTTTTACACCCGGTATAAATATTTGCAGAAATGTGGCTGGAACACGTGGAACACACATGAAGAAAAAGAGAGAGGGGAGAACACTGCCACAGCCGGATTTCTGCACACAGGCAGACCCACATAGTAGGCATGCACATATACACAAAACTACAACAAAGTATTTCTAAAACCTTTATCTAATGATGGCATTCAGAGAGCGGTGTAGTGAGTGGAGAGACCACCCTTCAACCAAAAGGCTTCTGGTGCAAAACCTCATGTCAGTAATAATCTGCTCTGTTGTAGTGTCCTTGAGCTCAGTATTGAGTCCCTCCCTCTCCAACTGACCATGTGCTTCATATAAAAAACTTCCCATGTGCATATCACTTCATCTCCAGCAATTACTTTAAGAGGCAGAATGCAATCTTAGCGGTGCTCGTGTGAAATTACACTGGATACTGTGACCTGCAGACATGTTGAAGAGGTTTAGCTCCCTTGCTGTTGTCCACTCCCTGTCAAAGTCGTGTCAGCTGACTAAATGCTGAGTCGCACCCAGCTGGTTTCAGTCTCAACACCTCCCCTGTAATTACTGATAAACACACAAACACCCAGTGATGCCACTGAGCGCCTTGGCTGTGATGGATGGACAGGTGAGGAGACCCTGTCACCAAGAGTGTGATAGCTTACATGAAGCAGCCGGGTGCTGACAGAGAGATAAGTCTCTATCTGTGGATGATAGATAACATGACAAAGTAGCAAAATCAGACCTGATCTCCTATGTCAATGGCATTGACAAAAAGTGAGATGAAAAGCTGATGAGGTGAACACTAAATGGCACCAAGGGATTCACAAAAATGGAAGGAAAGGGAAATAATAGGTTTAACTGATCTTTTTTCTGTCTTTGGGATACAGAGGAATGGAGTTTAAATTAATCATCAAGTGCTTTTGGATCTTCATCACCATTAAAAAATAAAAAGCCCAGTGCAGTGATGAAAACAGCAAAAGATATCATAACAAAAAGGGTTTCGTGGAAAGACATTTAAGTGATGGAGAAGAGCCTCCCTGATGTGGCTCTTTGGACATCTGTGTAATCCTGCTACATTGCTCTCTGTAGCTGCGCTGCTGAAGAAAGCAGAACATCGGCGCTGCCTTAAAAGGAAGGAAACATCCTGCAGACACAGAGACACAGGCGTGACAAGAGATGGTAGCTCTCCGTGCTGTCCTCCCCTCTCCATTCACCAGTCACATGCTTTCAATGTTCAATCCCACCTCTGCTTCCATCTCTGTATCTCTTTGACTCTCTCCATCTCTGTTTAGAAGGCAGAGTCATGCAGACCTCTTGATTAGCCTATGTATCCTGTGTGTAGGCTATTATAAGAGCAATGTTCTCTGTTCAATGTCTTGTATGAAAAACGTAGGAAAACGTCAGACAGGTGCATCCTGACAACCAAGACCTAACTTTCTTCTGTAGACTATGGCCACAACTGTGGAATTGTGCAAGTTTTAATGTTTCACCACTGTCATAAAGATTACATTAGGATCTTTTAGGTTTACACATTAGGATACACATTTTAGTAAGACAGGTGAACATAGACTCTTTAACTAACTGCATTTCGCCTTTGGTATGCATATCACCCAAATAATGTCAAACACTGGTTGTCTGCCTACGCTGGAAAATGCAGCTCAGCAACATGCCATTCGCTAAGAGAGGAGGTCTGTCTTCATTTTGACAAATGCTTTCTCAGGTGTATGAAATTTAGAAATGAACTAGCAGATGAAATAATCAGCAACTTTCCTGTCATAGAGATTATTATGCATATTAAACAAGCAAACACTTTTATATAATTATCATTGAAGTTTGGTTAGTGAACCTTTGAGCCACTACATCCCATCCCATCATTCATTATCAGTGTGTAAGGAGGGGTTAAAAGGCTGCCAGTGCCTCCTCCCAGTTCAGCCCACTGTAACCTCCAGGCCACTCGTCTGAGGCTTCAAATGCCCTCTGCAGCACAGGGTAATTGAGTGGTGAACAGATAAGGAGGCTAGCTGGCCTGATCTGCTGGTATGAGTGGGGAGGGGAAGAGGGGGACCCAAGAGCATTAGGGTCATTTGGCTGCTCTCTCTGGATTGGCAGAGGAATGTCAGAAGCAACAAGAAACATTTAATAAGCCTACTTAAAAAAGGGTGAGTCTGGTAAAAGTGAAATGAAAATATCAGTGCACTTGACTACGAAGATCTGCTTTCCACTGGACCATGGGTGTAGTGTTATATTTAAGAATTTATTGGCGAGTGTCTGTCTTTTTGTTTCAGTGTCATCAGAAAAAAAGTTTAGAAATACATCTACAAAGTGAATGAAATTTGGACTGAGTACTATGTCCAGATGACATCATAATGTGTGCAATATGCTTACTCACTTTCTTGCTGATAGTTAAATGAAAAAATTGATACCACTCTCATATTTGTACGATAAATATGAAGCTACAGCCAACAGCCGGTTAGCTTAGCTTAGCACAAAGACTGGAAACATCTTGCCTGGCTCTGTTAAAAAATAACAAAATACACCAACACTTTGTTTGTGAGGATTGAACAAACAAAAAATGAAATGTTAATTAGTGAGCTTCACAGGTGCTGGTAAGTGAATTTGGTTGCCTTTGGACTAAGCCAGGCTAGCTATTTTCCCTTTGTTCCAAACTAAGCTAATCAGCAGCTTGCAGTAGCTTCATATTTGCCAAACAATAATGAGAATGGTATCAATCCACCCACCTAACTCTAAGCAAAAGACTGAATAAGGATATATACGTAAGACAAATACATCTAAGCATTTCTGAAAAGTAATAATAATAAAAAGTAATAATATGAGAGACAAATCAGGCAAATAACATTAAATGGAAGATACAAGTTAGTGCAGATCAATTAATCTTGTCCTGGTCGTACTATGAAACAATCAGTGACATACATCTCCCTCTCTGTTTCTGTCTCTCCTTGTGTTTCCTTCATTGGTGGTTTCTGTGCTGATGTCTGTCCATGTTGCTGCTGAGTGCTACATGGTGCTGAGCTGTGGTGCTGTTGTCACTTCCAGCTGCTCTCTCTATCAGCTGTCATCACTTCCATAAGACTACCACTGCCAATTAATTCTCTGCATCCCCATACCACTATTCAAGAGCTGCAGCTCCATGTTTTTGTGTACTATTCTTGGGAACTACATCAGCGGTGTTCAAGGCTTTGACGTCATCTCAGAGGCAGCTGTTTTTATTCTTGTGTCCTCCTTGCACCAACTCTCAGGGCATGGTAGAGTGCTGAGTAATAGCTTAATGCTGAGGAATGTTCTTCTTACTTGTTAAAAAGTAAATTATCTGACTGCATCCTCCTCTGCCCTTAGTAACTTTTTTTATTCTAGCCTGGTTCAAGACATCTGCATCTCCCCATATTTAGATTTTTAGTGATTCAAATGCATAATGAAATTAAAGTGAAATGAAAAAGTTAAATTCAGTCTATCTATAGACTATCAGGCTACTTTTCCAATATCACAAGCACAATTTCACCATGATCCAAGTCAAAACTCATCAGCACAAAATAATAATATAATGAGTTTGAGGTGTGTTCAGGATTATGTTGTGCTGCAGTAACAGAGTAAGATTATGAGGAGGGGAGGGGGGTAATGAACCCTGAGGTCCTGTGCAGGCCCAGTAATGGCCCAGTTTTATCATCCTACGACTTCCTGTAGCCTCCTCTCCTGGGAAGGCCTGTTGGAGCTCTGCTGGAAGCCCTCTGATAAAAACCCTGGCTAATGTTCACATGCTGCTGGGAACAAGAGAGGGAGAGAGAGAGAAAGAGAGAGAGAAAGAGAAAGAGAAAGGACACATTTCAATAGTCATAGAAACAGAAATAAATAATCTACCATTCTTGAGGTTACACCTCCTAATATCCTCAAAATGATGTGAGAAAATGCAGCATAGGGTTGTGGTGACCAGCTCATGTGAACACTCTTTCAGAGACATGTGTCACATGTGGGTAGCTACAAGACAGTGGAAAAGTGACCAGAGTGAGCAGATGAGGGGAGGGAAGATTGTTATTTTGGTGTTTTTGGCCCCAGATGAGAGTAAGTCCAGTCAGAGGATAGGCATGCTGGACACCAAGCATGAAAAGCATGGGAGCAAGGCGCAGGAAGAGGAGCAATGATGATCACACAGCCTCAGATGATCCCTGGGTACCACACTGGCTTCCTGTGTTGGGAAACTAGCAAAGAGATTTGGAAATTAGTTAGAAGTAAAGGAAAGGGTACAGCAAAGTTTTGTGAGGTGAGCGATGTATAAGTGTTAATCCAGTTGAAAGAACTGAAAACTTACTGGAAAGGACAGACATGGAAGGTGAAAGCGGAAAGACAGTGAAGATAACCTGATATGCACTCTACGGGGCATAAAGAGCTTTGCATATATGTGTATGTGTGTTGTAAGTGGCCTTAAACTGACATAGGTTAAAAAAGTCACCAGTATATCACAGCACATTAGTAAATCTTATGGCGGATTCTCAGTTTGTGGATATCTATGTGACATTTTCTCAAATGTCTGAGGAGTATCTGC